GGGGCCTGTGAGGTCAACCCCCTGGCTTGCCTGCCCCAGGCTGCTGCCTGTGCCCCTGACCTCCCTGCCTTCTCCCATGGGGGCTTCTCTCACAACTAGGCAGTCCCTGGGATGGGGCACGTGGCCAAGGGCTCCAGGGCCAGGGCATGAGGGATGGGGAGCAGCTGGGCACTGGGCCGGCAGCCTGGTTTCCTCTCCCCTGCACGAGGACTTTCTTCTACTGCCCTCCCTCGCATCCCCCTCTATGCCAGGAGCCTCCTAAGCCTGTGATGGCTGCCACAGGGGACACTCAGCCCTGTGGATGCCAGCTGTGCTGAGTTCCCATCCAGAGAGTCGAAGCATGGCCCAGCCTGGAGCCTGGAGCCTGGAGCCTTGGCCAAGCATTTCCCTAGACCACTCCTGGTTTTCTTAACAGTTTTTTTTTTTTTTTTCCCCAATGACACATAATTTACATACCATAAAATTCATCCCTTTAAAGCATACAATTTCATGTTTTGAATTGTTTTTTGAGACAGTTCCATTGCCACTAATTCGAGAACATTTTTATCACCCCAGAAGGAAACACTGCACCTGTTTTTTTTTCTCTTGAGATGGAGTCTCGCTGTGTCACCTAGGCTGGAGTGCAATGGTGGGATCTCTGCTAACTGCAACCTCTGCCTCCTGGGTTCAGCTGATTCTTCCGCCTCAGCCTCCTAGGTGGCTGGGATTACAGGTGACTGCCACCACGCCTGGCTAATTTTTGTATTTTAGTGGAAGTCGGGGTTTCATCATGTTGGCCAGGCTGGTCTCAAACTCCTGACCTCAAGTGATCCGCCTGCCTTGGCCTCCCGAAGTTCTGAGATTACAGGCGTGCACCACCACACCCGGCTAATTTTTTTGTATTTTTAGTAGAGACAGGATTTCGTCATGTTGACCAGGCTGGTCTCAAACTCCTGACATCAGGTGATCCACCCGCCTAGGCCCCCCAAAGTGCTAGGATTACAGGTGTGAGCCACCACACCCAGCCTGCCCTGGGTCTTAAAGGTGAATAGGGAGCCTCTAGAGACCAGACTGTTCTCCCAAAGCCACAGGGCAGGTTCCCCAGTAGAGGTGCATCTCAGTTTCAGGCCTTGGACAGCTGGTCCTTCTCTCTCTCTGTTCCCTCTTACGCTAACAAAGTCCTCCTCTTCCTGGTCTTCCTGCTACTTCAGCTTCCATTCCCTGCTCGGTTTTGTTTTTGGTTTGAGACGGAGTCGCAGGCTGAAGTGCAGTGGTGTGATCTCGGCTCACTGCAACCTCCACCTCTCAGGTTCCAGGGACTCTCCTGCCTCAGCCTCCAGAGTAGCTGAGACTACAGGAGTGCATCACCACACTTGGCTAATTTTTGTATTTTTTTGTAGAGATGGGGTTTCACCATTTGGCCAGGCTGGTCTCAAACTCCTGACCTTAAGTGATCAGCCTGTCTCAGCCTCCCAAAGTGCTGGGATTACAGGGTTGAGCCACTGCCCAGCCTGTTTCCTGCTGTTTCTAGCGGAGGTCGTGTGGGAGTGTCCCTGCTGCCTCAGGTCTTGTGGTTCCTTCCTGCACTCTTCAGTTCTGGTGGCCTCCACTGTCCCTGGACTGGGGAAGCCTTGGATCTGCAGGGACTGTCTTGTTTGAAGAAGGACAACGCTTGGTTATCTCCTTGTGGGAGACCTATGTCTCTGAACAGCTTTCTTCGTCTTGTCTGTCTGCCTTTCATTGTCATAAAAAATGTTCCTCCTGTCATCCTGTTATCTGCCTACACTGACAAATAATCCTCTTACGAGTTCCTGCATTTATACAGGCCATGCGGAGTATGCGTGTGTGAGGGGGAAGGACGGTCAAGCGTCAGCAGCAGCCTAGGGGGTTTGTGGGTGGAAGGATGAAAAAGATGGAGGGTCATCTGGTCCCAGGGCCCTGGTGACAGTAGCCTCTGTTACTCTGCAGCAGCCAGTGTAGGTGGCCAGAATGTCACAAGGGTAGGCACTAAAAAGCCTCAGGAGCTCCGGCAGCCGGGTGGGGAGCTGGCCAATCAGGAGAGGGCATGCAAATGAGCCAGGTGCTTCCTAGCAGGGACCAGAGGCCAGGTCAGGGCAACAGCCTCAAGGGCTGGCCCTCGTGGGCTGTGGACTTTGGATGAGCATAAATGAGAATCAGGACACCGGGCACAGTGGCTCATGTCTCTAATCCCAGCACTTGGGGAGGCTGAGGCGGGCTGATCACCTGAGGTCAGGAGTTCAAGACCAGCCTGATCAACGTGGAGAAACCCTGTCTCTACTAAAAATACAGAAATTAGCTGAGCGTGGTGTCAGGCACCTGTAATCCCAGCTACTCGGGAGGCTAAGGCAGGAGAATTGCTTGAACCCAGGAGGCAGAAGTTGTGGTGAGCCAAGATCACACCACTGCACTCCAGCATGGGCAACAAGAGCAAAACTTCGTCTCCAAAAAAAAAAAAAATGAACTGGGACAATTTGCAGGAAGGGATTTGGGGGCGGGAGTAAGGTGGGGAGGAGGTAGGGTTCAAACATCAAGCTTTCTGAGGTGTGTCAAGGCCAGAGAAACTTACACAGTATGTGGCATCCACACTTCTGCTCTGTCAGTGTCTTTTCCTGGGAGTAAGATCAAGAAGAGAGAGGGGTCCCAGCTAATTTTTGTATATATATATTTTTTATTTTCTTTTTGTTTTTATTTTTTCTTTTTCTTTCCAGAACCCCTTAGAGAACTTGGAATTAATAATTTTTATATTTTTAATAGAGACAGGGTTTCACCCTGTTGGCCAGGCTGGTCTCGAACTCCTGGCCTCAGGTGATCCACCTACCTTGGCCTCCCAAAATGCTGGGATTACAAGTGTGAGCCACCACACCCAGCCCCTTAAAAATGCTATTTCTAAGAGGCTATTAATATGTCTTTGCATTTCAGAAAACTGGGTCTAGTCAAGAAATAAGGATGGATGGAGGTCAAAATGGAAATGGATTTGGAGAACAGAGTGGGGGTGGGGACAGAGTAGGATGGAAGTAAGAGAGGGGTTGAGGGGAGGTCAGTGACAGGGAGGGGACAGGATAAGGAACAAGATGAGGAAGGGGGAAGGTGGAGTTGCAGTGGAGATGAGGATGAAAGTGAGGAAGGCTGGGTCATCCTCTGGCCTCTCCTACCATGCCCATCTACACAGATGCAAAGAAAACTTCATTCACTCATCGAATGTTTCTGGGACTCTTCCTGAATGCCAGACTTGTATTGGTACAGAAAAATGACTGTCTCCATACTTGCCTTCAAAGAGCTCACAGTCTGGGCTGCGGAGAGGTCTTTTTATAAACAAAAACACTAGCTGGGCATGGTGGCTCACACCTGTAATCCTAGCACTTTGGGAGGTCAAGGCAGGTGGATCATATGGTCAGGAGTTTGAGACCAGCCTGACCAACATAGTGAAACTCCGTCTCTATTAAAAATACAAAAAATTAGCTGGGCATGGTGGCTCAAGCCTGTAATCCCAGCACTTTGGGAGGCCGAGGCGGGTGGATCACGAGGTCAAGAGATCGAGATCATCCTGGTCAACATGGTGAAACCCCGTCTCTACTAAAAATACAAAAAATTAGCTGGGCATGGTGGCTCAAGCCTGTAATCCCAGCACTTTGGGAGGCCGAGGCGGGTGGATCACGAGGTCAAGAGATCGAGACCATCCTGGTCAACATGGTGAAACCCCGTCTCTACTAAAAATACAAAAAATTAGCTGGGCATGGTGGTGTGTGCCTGTAATCCCAGCTACTCAGGAGGCTGAGGCAGGAGAATTGCCTGAACCCAGGAGGCGGAGGTTGTGGTGAGCCGAGATCGCGCCATTGCACTCCAGCCTGGGTAACAAGAGCGAAACTCCGTCTCAAAAAAAAAAAAAAAAATACAAAAATTATCCAGGCATGGTGGCGCATACCTGTAGTCCCAGCTCCTTGGGAGACTGAGGCAGGAGAATCGCTTGAACCCCAGAGGCAGAGGTTGCAGTGAGCCGAGATTGCACCACTGGACTCCAGCCTGGGCAACAGAGCACGACTCTCTCTCAAAACAAACAAACAAACAACAACAAAAATAAAAACACTGACATAATAGTTATGACAGACAAGTGGGGCACAGAAAGAGGAGCCATCTATCACTGGTGGGAGTCTGGGAGGACTTCAGAGAGGTGGTGATGGATATGTGTGTTTAATTGTATTCATTGATTTATTTCAATTAGTGATATATTCACATGTTCAAAATCCTAAAGGCACAAAAGAACTTGCGTCTGGTGATGGTTGCACAATTCTGTGAATGTACCAAAAACCATGGAAACCATTGAATTAGGCACTTTAAATGGGAGAATGATACAGTATGTGACTTATAGCTCAATAAAATTGTATTTTAGAAAAGGGTCTGTGTCTCCATCCCACATCTGATTCTAGTCCCTCCCTGAAATCAAGTAATGCAGTGAGTTTCTTCTGTGTCTTTTTCACTGGGAGTCAGAAGTGATGTTTGACGTGGTGAATGAGCTGAATTTAGTCAAGTAGTAGACCGTGAACACAGTGTTCTGGCAGTGACACCGGCATGAAGGCTCGTGGTTCCGTGAATGCCCCAATGGCTGGAGCGTGGGGTGAGGGTGGCAGAATGGCAAAGGCTGACTGGAGCTGGGTGGGCAGAGCCTTGGAGGCCATGCAAGGCAGTCTGTACTTTATCTGTAAGCAATGATGACCCAGACCTTTAAGCTGCATGAATAACAATGTGACAATAATTTTAAAACACCCAAATCTCCCTCCAACATCCCGTTGTCATTCATGTAATTTAAACTGCAGCTCTTGTCTCTAGCACTCATGCGTTCACCTAGTTAGGTAAGTATTGTCTAAATACACTTTTGTATTCTACTTTTTCCGTTTAATATTAATCAGAAGCATTTTTATAGGTTGTCATGTAGTACTCAAATGGATTTTTTTTTTTTGAGACGAAGTCTCGCTCTGTTGCCTCGGCTGGAGTGCAGTGGCATGATCTCAGCTCACTGCAACTTCCATCTCCTGGGTTCAAGTGATGTTCCTGCCTCAGCCTTCTGAGTAGCTGGGATTACAGGTGCCCACCACCAAGCCGGGCTAATTTTTGTATTTTTGGTAGAGATGGGGTTTCACTATGTTGACGAGGCTGGTCTTGAACTCCTGACCTCATGATCCGCCTGCCTTGACCTCCCAAAGTGTTGCAGTGATCCACTTCATCCAGTGGATATTTTTTATTTTTTTTTTGAGAGGAAATGTTGCTGTCACCCAGGCTGGAGTGCAGTGGTGCAATCTCGGCTCACTGCAACCTCTGTCTCCTGGGTTCAAGTGATTCTCCTGCCTCAGCCTCCCAAGTAGCTGGGATTACAGGTGGAGGCGCCATCGCGCCCGGCTAATTTTTGTATTTTTAGTAGAGACGGGGTTTTACCATGTTGGCCAGGCTGGTCTCAAACTCCTGACCTCAGGTGATCCACCTGCCTTGGCCTCTCCAATTGCTAGGATTATAGGCGTGACCCACTGCTTCCCGCCAAATGGATGCTTTTTAAAGGATAAGAGGTACTCTATCAATTTGATGGTAAATAAATCATTCCCCATTGGGCATTGGGTTGGTTCCAATTTGCTGTCCAGAGGAAGAATGACCCAAATGGATCTTGGCTTTGGACAATGGCCTTTACATGGCCAACTCACATGCTCAGAGCTAAAAGGGACTCAGGGGGTCATCTGGGTTCATCTTTAGGGCTTCTGTGGTCGTGAGTAAGCACCCTGTCTGAACCCATTTCTTTATCTGGAAAATGATAATGTATTTAAATCACTCAAAAGCTTTTTAGGCCTTGGTAGATTTCTCTGACACTGGAAGGTCCATCCACAGCCTACCTGCTATGTATCAAAGGAACTATTTGAAGACACTGGGGTCCTGGTCAGGTAGGGTGACTCATGCCTGTAATCCCAGCACTTTGGGAGGCTGGGGCAGGAGGATTGCTTGAGGCCAGGAGTTCGAGACCAGCCTGAGCAATAGAGCAAGATTCTGTCTCTACAAAAAATGTATAAAATTAGCTGAGCTGGCCGGGCACAGTGGCTCACGCCTGTAATCCCAGCACTTTGGGAGGCCAAGGCAGGCAGATCATGAGGTCATGAGATTGAATCATGCTGGCTAACACAGTGAAACCCCATCTCTACTAAAAATACAAAAAATTAGCCGGGTGTGGTGCCATGTGCCGGTAGTCCTAGCTACTCAGGAGGCTGAGGCAGAAGAATCGCTTGAACCCAGGGGGCAGAGTTTGTAGTGAGCCAAGATTGAGCCACCGTACTCCAGCCTGGGCAACAGAGAGAGACTCCATCTCAAAAAATAAAAATAAAAAATTAGCCGAGCATGGTGGCACATGCCTGTAGTTTCAGCTACTTGGGAAGCTTGAGGTAGGAGGATCTGGGGCAGATGCACTCTGAAGGATCAAGAGGAAACACTCGGGGCTGCCTGCAGCAGTGCTGAGGCTGCAATTCAATTTTCTTTGATATCAGTGGTAGAATTTGTCCTCTAGGGGCCCGGTGCAATGGCTCACCCCTGTAATCCCAGCACTTTGGGAGACTGAGGTGGATAGATCACCTGAAGTCAGGAGTTCGAGACCAGCCTGGCCAACATGATGAAACCCGTATCTACTAAAAATACAAAAAATTAGCTGGGCATGGTGGCGGGCACCTATAATCTCAGCTACTCGGGAGGCTGAGGCAAGAGAATCACTTCAACCCAGGAGGTAGAGATTGCAGTGAGCTGAGATTGCACCATTGTATTCCAACCTGGGCAACAAGATTGAAACTCCGTCTCAAAAAAAAAAAAAAAATTGTCTACTAGGTACTGTGCTATGTGCTGGCAGGGGGGTTAGTTGGTCCCAGACAGACAGACATGGCCCACTGACTGGCTTGGCCCAGGGGAGATGCTGCTGGAACAAGAAAACCACTCTGATGGTTCTTGGAAGTGGGAGCTGGCCCCTGGCCCTTCATCTGCCCCTCATCTCCTCCCAGAGGCTGCTGTTCTTCATCCAGACTATCTGGTCCCATCATCCCTGTAGCTGCCACAGAGACCTCGTCATATGAAGGGAAAGAGAGTGTAGCACTCTCAGTAGGGACCGGGTCTCAAACACCTCCCTGCTGCATGTCTCTTCTACCTTTTTTTTTTTTTTTTTTTTTTTTGAGACAGAGTCTTGCTCTGTTGCCCAGGCTGAAGTGCAATACCATGATCTCAGCTCACTACAACCTCTGCTTCCGGGGAGAATCGCTTAAGCGATTCTCAAGCCTCAACCTCCCAAGTTGCTGGGACTACAGGCATGCACCACCATGCCCAGATAATTTTTGTAGTTTTAGTAGAGATGGGGTTTCGCCATGTTGCCCAGGCTGGTCTCTAACTCCTGAGCTCAGGCATCCCATCTGCCTCGGCCTCTCAAAGTGCTAGGATTACAGGCATGAGCCACAGTGCCCGGCCCCTTATGCCTCTTTTTTTGTAGGGGGGAATGGAGTCTCACTTTGTCGCCCAGGCTGGAGTGCAGTGGCGAGATCTTGGCTCACTGCAACCTCCACCTCCCAGGTTCCAGTGTTCTCCTGCCTCAGCCTCCTGAGTGGCTGGGACCACAGGCACATGCCACCATGCCCATCTAATTTTTTGTATTTTTAGTAGAGATGGGGTTTCACCATGTTGGCCAGGATGACCTCCTTCTCCTGACCTCGTGATCCACCCGCCTCAGCTTCCCAAAGTGCTGGGATTACAGGTGTGAGCCACAGCGCCCGGCCCCTTATGCCCCTTAACTTTATATCTCTGGGTCAGAATGTGATAGGGAACTCTCCTTTCTTGAAGACCGCCAAGGAATGTGATCTCTCAGTCACTCCCAATTCTCCCATTGAGAAGGAGAAGCCATGTTTCTGTATTTTCACTTAAAAGAAAAATTAAACAAAAAAAAACAGAAAGAGAAGCCAATACAAGACAGACTACTCCAAGCCAGATGATTTTCATCTTTGCTTTACTTAATCCTCAGAACAACCTTGAAAGGCAAATGTTAATTACACCCATTTCACAGATGCAGAAACTACAATTCAGAGAGATTAAGAAGCATGCCCAGATCACCTGGCTGGTAAAAGGTAGGGCTGGGAATGAACCCAGATCTTTGCAGAATTATACCTCACTGCCTTTGCTGGGCCATGGCTCTTTTTCACTGCCTGGTAGGCCTGTGTGAAGAGTTAAAAAAGGTATCAGACTGGTCTGAATATTGTAAGAAAGGAAAAAAGAAAAAAGAATGAAACAAGGTAATGCTTGGGAAGCCTTTGGCACGTGATCCATGTTAAGTGACCCTCTCAGAGCAAAGTCAACACTCAAAGGGCAAGGGCAGAAACATGCATAAAGGGAGAGCCAGCGGCGAGTCTTCTCGAAGCTCGGTCTGGTGCTTTGGGTCCTTTTCCATCAGTCCTTACAGCTGCTGGTCAGATCCTAGCAGCCAAGATGGTGAAGCAGATCAACAGCAAGGTTGCTTTTTAGGAAGCCCTGGACACTGCAGGCAATAAACTTGTAGTAGCTGACTTCTCAGCCAGGTGGGGTGGGCCTTGAAAAATGATCGAGCTTTGTTTTCATTCCCTCTCTGAAAAGTATCCAACGTGGTATTCCTTGAAGTAGATGTGGATGCCTGTCAGGATGTCGCTTCAGAGTACGAAGTCAAACGCATGCCAACATTCCAGTTTTTTAAGAAGGGACAAAAGGTGGGTGGATTTTCTGGAGCCAACAAGGAAAAGCTTGAAGCCACCATTAATGAATTAGTCTAAGCATGTTTTCTGAAAATATAACCAGCATTGGCTATTTAAAACTTGTCTTTTTTTTGATTTACAAAAAATACAAAGACTATAAATCCAATTGCCATCTGGGTGACAATAAATCATTAATTCTAACACTTAAAAAAATATGCACAGTTGCTTTTCACAAAGGCCCTCAACCTTGACTGCACATTGAAATCACCTGGGAAGCTTGTAAAACTCAACATACCCAGACTGCACCTCAGCTTAATAAGATCAGAGCCTGTGGGGGCAAAATTCAGACATGACTGGCTTTTAAATTTCCCCAGGTGAGGCCGGGTACGGTGGCTCGTGCCTTTGAGAGGCCAAGGCGGGTGGATCATCTGAGGTTGAGAGTTCAAGACCAGCCCGGCCAACATAAAGAAACGCCATCGCTACTAAAAATACAAAATTAGTTGGGTGTGGTGGTGCCCGCCTGTAATCCCACTACTCGTGAGGCTGAGGCAGGAGAATCGCTTGAACCCGGGAGGTGGAGGTTGCAGTGAGCTGAGATCACACCACTGCACTCTAGCCTGAGCGACAAGAGCGAAACTCCATCTCAAAAAAAAAAAAACTTTCCCTAAGTGATTCTGATTCTACTGTATAGCCAAGGTTGGGAGAACTCTGGAGACAGTAGTTCAGTTCCAAGCCTCCCAAGAGGAGGCCGACTAAACAGTCTAAGACATAAAGACTGTGTCCATCAGAAGGCACAGAAAGGGGCCAGGCACAGTGTCTCACACCTATAATCCCAGCACTTCGGGAAGCTGAGGTGGGCAGATTACTTGAGTCCAGGAGACCAGCCTGGGCAACATAGCAAAACCCTGTTTCTACAAAAATACCAAAAAAAAAAAATTAGCCAGGATGGTGACATGCACCTGTGGTCCCAGCTACTAAGGAGACTGAGGTAGGAGGATCACTTGAGCCTGGGAGGCAGAGGCTGCAGTGAGCTGAGATCATGCCACTGCACTCCAGCCTTGGTGACAGAGTGAGAAGACCCCGTGTCCCTCAGAAAGGGAGCATCACAAAGCCTGTCCTGAAAGTGACAGCCACATCTGGAGCCGAGGACCTGACCAGGGCCAGGACACGTCCCATCCTAAAGGCACTTTAGCCATGCAGATGGAGGCACCCAGCCCTATTGAAGCTATCTGGTGACGAACTGCTGGTTCTAATTCCCAACTCGACAGGCCAGCTTCCCACCACATCATGGCGATGGGAGAAAATGGACACATCATTTTCATATCTTATTGTAAATGAACTAATTGGCATTCTAAGAAGAATTACTTTTGCTTTGATAGTTACAGTAAATCAACAGATGGACCTTCAGGTGTAATTTTAGTAAATATAGACCTTCCCTGAAAGACAATTCCCGTTGGTGAGCTGAGCTGAGGAATCTGGTTTCTGATTCAGGCTTCTCCCTTGGACTGGGGTGAATTCACCAAGAAGCCATCTCGAGGTATCCTGGGAGATGTCAGCCAGCCTCGTCTGACGCAACCAGCCTAGCCAGGCACTTCACAACCAACTTTCAGAGCAGAAACTCTGTGTAAGCAAATTCCTCCCCTCCTTCCCTCCTCTCCTATAGTTCTGGCTTTCTGTATTGTTTGTTTGTTTTCTGAGATGAGGTCTTGCTCTGTCACCGAGGCTGGAGTGCAGCGGCTCGATCTTGGCTCACACACTGAATTCTATTTTCTTGACCACGTGTGTCCTCCCCTCATTCCCCACACTGAACCTGGCTTTGGTGGCCTGGTGCCCAGCGTGGTGTCACGCCCATGTGTGGATGCTTAAATACATCTTTGAAATTTGAATAAACAGCAAACATTGTTACATAGGAGTCATTTTTTCCTCTTTAAAAAATGCAGCCTAAACCTCTTGAGCTCAAGTGATCCTCCCAACTCAGCCTCCTGAGTAGCTGGGACTATAGGCACATGCCACTACCACCGGCTAATTTTTTTTTTTTTTTCTCTTTTTTGGAGACAGGGTCTTGCTCTGTCACTCAGGCTGGAGTACAGTGGTGCAATTACAACTCACTACAGCCATGGCCTCCCAGGCCCAAGCAATCCTCCTGCCTCAGCCTTCTGAGTAGCTGGAATTACAAGTTTATACCACAATACCCAGCTAATTTTTAAATTTTTTGTAGAGACAGAGTCTCCCTATGTTGCCCAGGCTGGTCTTGAACCTTGAGCTTAATGGATCTTCCTACCTTGGCCTCCCAAAGTGCTGGGAGTAATAGGTGTGAGCCACTGTGCCTGGTCCCCTCCTATGGTTTTCTCCCCTGGCCAACATCCCTCTTATAAATCTGCAAAGCTTCTCACTGCAGGGAATATTAGGTCAATCACATACCTGGGTTCAGTCCCTACACTGCAGTCATCCTGATGCTCACACCCCAGACACCCCAGACCGTGCCTCCTCCTCCAAGCAGGCCGCTCCCACCGCTAAGCCTCTGCCCATGTGCTCTGATTCTGCCCTCCCTTCCTTCCACTGCTTCCTTCCTCCTTCCTTTTCCTTCTTCATCTAGTGACAGCTTATTCATCCTCTAAAACCCAACTTGAATACCACTCTCTCTACCTTTCCCTGAACAGCATTATTTACTTTGTTCTTTCTGCTCCCACAGTACTTTGGACAGAACTCTGCCACGGAGGTTCACACACTGAACTCTACCTCCTTGACCACGTGTGTCCTCCCTTCACTCCCTACACTGAACCTGGCTTTGGTGGCCTGGTGCCCAGCGTGGTGTCTCACCCATGTGTGGGTGCGTAAATACATCTTTGAAATTTGAATAAACAGCAAACATTGTTACATAGGAGTCATTTTTTCTCTTTAAAAGCCACGTCATGGTTGGGCGCGATGGCTCACACCTGTAATCCCAGCACTTTGGGAGGCCGAGGCGGGTGGATCACGAGGTCAGGAGTTCGAGACCAGCCTGGCCAACATGGTGAAACCCCATCTCTACTAAAAATACAACAACAAAAAAATTAGCCGGGCACAATGGCACATGCCTGTAATCCCAGCTACTCTAAGCCTGAGTCAGGAGAAACTCTTGAACCCAGGAAACGCAGGTTGTGTTGAGTGGAGATCATGCCATTGCACTCCAGCCTGGGTGACAGAGGAAGACTCCGTCTCAAAAAAAAAAAAAAACCACATATCCATTTTCTCATTGGACTATTTCAAAAGAGAAGATCTAGGGACATCCAAAGATCCTAAGTGAAAAATTACCCTGGCTGCACGGGTTGGGCCAGGACACAGGGCCAAAGGGCAGCAGCAACACACTGAGCCCTGGCGTCTCCTTTCCAGATGAGACCTGACTGCCTGGGCCAGCAACACAGCAGAGGCAGCAGGGAGGGGGAGACGGGGCCAGAGGGTTTCTGGGCAGGTGGTAGCTGGCAGATCTAAAAATCAATTCCCCACACTGGGCTGTCACTGAAACAGCCCAGGAGTAGCCCAGAGCCTGGAGGTAGATCTGAAAGGGCAGGGTGTGGGAAGATTAGAAGCATAAGCTAGAAATTGGACCACAAATATGGAATTTGACATGTGGGTGGAGAGGGGTGTTTTGGAGGCTGCAAATCAATAAATTAATGTTTTCCTCAATCTGGGTAAGCAGAGGCAATGCGGTATAGTGGTTTACAGTGTGGCTTCTGGAACTAGATTCCTGGGGTTTGAATTCAGCACATGTGACCTTGAACAAATTGTTTCTTTTTTTTTTTTTTGAGATAGA